CTCTCTTATCACCAACGATATCAACGAACTCCACGCATTCAGTGTTTCGACACGAGTCTGAAAATACAGTGAGAACTTGAAAGAAATTCTATTTTGAAAATGAACACATACGACAATTGCTCAATTGTGATGGACCAATGCTGAATTGTTGAAAATTTCCACAATGCCGAAACGATGAATATGCAAAATGTTATGAGCGATCGATGTCTGGCATTCAAACGATCGATCAGCAGCTTTCTAGTGCACAGTTGGACAAAATATAACGAATAAAGAATGCGCTGAAAATAAATTCGCAGCTTCAAGAGCAAGCAAATTTGCTTCGAAAAACAAACCGCGTCCGAGTCGTAACCACATTCCGCGACCATTCCCAGAATACTCGATTTAAATTCTCGCCAAACGCATGAATTAAATATCAACTTTTGTTTAGCATGAGTTGCACCAACGCTTCGAATTCGTTTAATGATTTCCTAAAAATACCTTATTGTTAGGTAATAATAGTGCAGTATACGGATGCGATCGGAGCTCAAGCAAGAATAAGCTCCGATTTGGGATTTAACGTTAGTTGTTGCATCTTAGGAAGCGATTGGTGATTTGCTGACGGTATGTATGTTTTAATTGGCTAAACCAAACAAAGGCGACAGTAATCTAGTGATGTGATTGGATGAACGCAGCAGTATGCCAACTACCTTGACCAATCAATTTGTCATTCTCTGCGGCATTCACCTTGAACTGACGAGTTTGCTATGCATTTGATGATAGCGATAAGGATTGAATCAGTGTTGTAGTAAGGTTCAATGATCTCAAAGAAGGATGAAAGATGAGTTTTATCAATTGTCAGTATTATCTGAACCACATTTATTGGCGAGAAGTTGATATTGGCGTACCTGTTCAGCATGTTGATTTTGCATCATTTGCATCAAATCATCAAATAACGTCACTATTCGTTCACCAGCTTGATAATATTGTGGGTATGTAAGCAAATCGAAACTCTTCCGTTGTATTGGTCCTCCAGCCGTTTGCCTTAATGGCTCTTCTTCATCGTCTAAATCACCGCCTGAGAATCACCAATTATTGTTGATTTGCTTAGGATTTGCTAATATCACCAGTTCCCTTTCACAAATGAACAGTACGAATGTAACTGATACTGTACCACGCATATATGAGAGTGCGATGAATCGAAAGTTCTGATTACGCGTCGATCGAAGAGTTTCAAAATTGCGCCAAAATTGTCAACATTTCAAAAAGATAAAAAATTTGTTAGGGAGGAAGCTGAGTGAAAGAAACTGAACGAAGAAAAGACCTTGTTCAATCGGTCTCAAGGCGTCTATAAGTGACGGGTCTTTCCTCAGTAAAGCATGCAGGACATTTACACCGAACTGACCCGAGGTCATCGTTTGTACAGATATCCATGAATTTTGCAGGAGTGCGATACGTCGGGATGTTTGTAAACTGTAAACGATCCGAATTATTGTGAACTCATCGTTCAAATATCAACAAATCTTTTGTACGAATAACAGCCGAAAAAGTTTCAGTTTCTAGCACAATGATAGCGATTTTATGTTTGCC